TAAAAAAAAAAAAGGCAGAGAAGTCAATAAGTGTAATACAAAAGTGTTCAGTAAAGTAAATACAGATACAGAGGTAATGCAGAAAAGAGCGATCAACTTCACTCGGAAGCTGCAGTGTCGGGAGGCTTCACTGCAGCAGTAACGATGCATTTGGGAGGCAGGCTAGGAGTTTGCCACGTGGATGGGCAATTCATGCAGTGGGAACAGGATATACAAAAAGTTGCACGGGTTTGCACTAGGTTTTTCGATAACAATGCTAGAGAGCTAGGCAAGGAATAAATTACAGAGGGACTTGAATTCCTCATTAAGGGGTTTGGATATTTATTGTAGGTCACAAGTTCTCAAAGGGGTGATCCCTGGATGCTGATCAGACCTACTAAGTCAAAATCTTGAGGGTGAAGCCCAATAACATGCACCTTTCACAAGTAAGTCTTTACTAGACAGAAGTCTGGGAGCTTTTGTAGACAGAATTCTGACAGCTAGTGAAAGATTTTAAGCTGAGGACTTATTGCTCAAAAGGGTCTCAGGTCAAGGGTTCTCAAAGTGTAATCTCTGGACCAGCAGCATCAGCACCACCTAATTGGGAACTTGTTAGAAATGGAAATTTGCAAGCACTACCCCAAACCTACTGAGTCAGAAACTGGATGGAGCACATAAGTCTGTTTAACATGCTCTCCAGGAGATTTCGATGAGAACCATTATCCTATCAGACAACTTTGGCAGCAATATGTAGGATAGGTTTGTCATGGGGAGATGTCAATGAGACATCAGAGAGACCAGTTAATCAACCATTTATAAAGTCCAGGCAAGAGAAGGTGTGGGGGTAGGGTAGGGGGTGTCACCTCTGTGTGGGTAATAGAAAAAGCAACGACTATGAATAAGATTATGTAGGGAAAGTGTATGGAATGAAAAGAGAAGGAAGGACAGAATTCTGGTGAATAACAACATTTAGAGGACAAGGAAGCTTTCAAATGAACAAGACTTAAGAAAATGGAAGTCCAACAGGTGAACTAGGGTTTCAAGAAAAGGAATGATCAACAGTATCAAATGTAAGAGGGAGATCAAGAGACTGAGAATTGACTTGCATTTGGTGATTAGATCATCGGTGACTTGAGCAAGAGAAATTTTAATTGAGCAATGGGGGTGGAGGTTGGGTTGCATTTGGTCCAGAGTAGGAAATTGTAATGAAGTAATAAATTGGAGAAAAGGGTTCTTGGAAAGAGGAATTGCACCTCCTCTGAGCGAGAAGTGGGGTTAGGTACACATGAGTAAGGGGAAGTGGAAGTGGGAGGTAGGAGAAACATCTGATAGTGTAAACTTAACGGTGAAATAAGCAGTGATCAATTTGGTGTGGGGGCAGTCCACGTAGGAAGGGGTTGGAGTACAATAGCCTTTGTGAGTTTTGGGAATGAGGCCACTGCTGAGGTGGCAAACCAAAAATTTCCAAAGGCGCTCACCATGGTTTTATGTTTTTCTCTGGTGTAACTCAAAAGACAGTAAAAGAGTAGAAAAGAGGAGCGGCTAAGAGTCCTGGTCCTTGTTTGAGGGTGTGCCAAGCAGGTCTGGCTAAAGGACTAGTGGTCAAGAGAGTTAATGGCACTGGTGAGATAGTTGAGATGATGCACCTGGGGGTCTGGAAAGGCTAGGGAAGGAAGAATGGTGGGGGTATTATCTGTCAGAAAGAGGAGGGGTGGGCCAGGCATTAGTAATCTTCAGCAAGTGGAAGGAATAAAGGAGCAAGCATAGGAAAAGTCCTGGGAATGGAATGTGAGTTTAGGATCACAGAGTTCTGGGTTGCGGAACAGCCTGCTGGGTAACCATGGGAGAAATGGCCCAAATTGAATAGAAGTAAAAGCTGTAAGCAGTTGTGACAAGTGTGTTGGGATGGGTTTTCCTCAGGAACACTGAAGTCATCCAGCATGATGGTGGGACATGAGGTACAGAGGGATCAGGGAGCCTGGTACCAAAGACTGGGAAACCTGGGACATTGACTGCGTTGTGGCCACAAAGAATGGTGAAAGTTAAAATAGCTGGATGCCACAGTTTGGTAGTGAGAGATTTTTGTCTCAGATAGGAAGATGCAGAAGTGGGAAACTGGAGAACTCAAGTTCTTTGCTGTGTGACCTGGGAGCAATGTGCAGCCTTTTTGT